TAGCAAGGAAGAAATTTTTGTTTATAGAAGCTGCAGGACTGAGCAACTTAATGAAATGAAAAAAAACCATGGTGTCTGAAATACACATTAGAATCATTTCAAGTAAAAGAGGGAAGTGAGGAGAGAGAACTGCTCTGGGGGAAATAAGAGATTAGGGTTGCAGCAAGATGGTGTACAGAAGTTTTGAAATGTCCAAAAGGTTATTGGAAAGACATAAAGCCAGGGGCTAGTTTGGACTAAAGATAATGTTTTAGAAATTTTTTGTGGAGAGATGATAGTTGGAATTTACCCTTAAAAGATTCTCAAATCTTTTTGAGATCCACTTCTCCCTCATGGTCCTCTGCTGACCCCCCCCCCCCACTGTGGTATATCTCTGAACTATTGAAATACTTCCCAGTCAAACCTACATACCCCTTATATGGACTGTCTCCATAGCACCCTGATTTTTCTTTCCAAACCTTATTCCAGTTACTCCCAATCTGCAAGTCAGGCTCGTGTGATTTTGAGGATATAGAGGTTATAGTTGTCTGTTTTACTTACCCCCGAAGATCCAGCAATTTCCATGGTGACTGGGACAGAGTAGGCACTCAATTGTTTCCCAACAAAAAGAGTAAATGAATGTCACTACTGAGAAGTAGAGAAAGAACAAAGTTGAAGAGAGAACTCTGGTGAACGTTGTTAGGGCACAGAAGGAAAGACTAGGAAAGGCAAATAGGAAGGCAAAGAATAGAGAGAAGGCAGGACTAGGTGGCCAAGGGCGAATGGAGATTCTGGGGTAAGGTGTGGTCAGCAGTGATTGTTTCTTTGGTGCTGGAGTAAGTAACCAGGACAGTAGGAGCAGCTCACCTTTATTGGGTGCTCTCTGTATGCCAGTCATTGTTCTATGACTTGGCATGGATTAACTGTGTTTGCAGTAACTCTGTGAGGTAGGGGTGCTTATTATCTCATTTTACAGATGGGGACACAGAAAGGCTAATACTTTGCCCAAGGACAAACAATGGAGGAACCATGAGACAAAGCAGGCCGCCTGGTCCTAGAGCATGGAGCCACTCTGGCTCCTCTGGCAATGGGACAAAACAGTGAGCAGTGGGTTAAGGACTCTGGTCTCAAAGATACAGAAGGAAAGGAGGACCGGCCACTCTGTATGACCTCTGGCCATAGACAGGACAGCCATGCCTATTATCCTTGAGTTAGGGTGTCTCCCACATATTGTCACCAGATCTACAGAAACCATATGTGAATAAGATCATTCAGTGCATCATCAGCTGTAAGAACCTGGAGACATGCTTTCATTTCAGGAACAGATAGTAGTTTTGATTGTGTCTTCAGGATATTGTACCAGCTGCTTTGACACTGACTCTTTTATTACATTCCAGTATTATTGACTAAAAACAGTCCTTGAGAGAGCAGAAAGAAAAAACTGGCTCTGACAATAAAAAGTATTGTGGTATTCCAACTTGCTTTCAGTTTTGCATATGCCTGTGAATCATTCCTGCTTTCTTTTTTTACAAATGCGAGAGTAACGTCTTGCCCAAGTCAGATGGAAATGCACCTGTATTTGCCCTGCAGCCTGTGTTTTCCCCGATTGCACAGAATCCACCAGCAACAGCCAGGTCAGGCAGACATGCAGGAAAAGAGAGTGTCTGAATGACAGACCAGACTGATTGGTGTCGATCATGTTGCAGAACATTACACACTCTCAAAGCTCACATGTGAAGATTTTGGCAGATTTATCGATTCCTTTAATTAAGGAACAGGGAAGATATGAATAACAACTGTTTTGTTCCTGATTGATGCAAATCTGCAATACATGTGACTAAAATCTGTTCTCAGAATTTTTCATTACAGAAGTTTTTTAATTTGATTTAAAATATATGCCTGTATGTTTATCGTTTTCTTCCTTACCATTTTTTCATAGATGGTTAACTCTGCCTAACCCAAAATCTAACTATTGTGTTCAGCTTGCCACAAAATGGGAATGGAATTTATCTTTTTTAAGCCTTTCACTCTGAAATTAGGTACCTGGCCTCCTAAGGACAATACCACATTGTTCAGGGATGCTGATGATACAATTTAAGAACACAGAGAAAATGAATCCCTTTAAAAGGTGCAGCTTTTTCTTAGTTAATTCTTTCCTGAATTTCTTTTTTTTTTTTAATAGACCATGACTAGTATTTGACCACTTAATGCATCGGGCTAGCCTCAGTACTTAGCACTGGACCACAGCCTGACTTTGTATGACTTACAAACTGCACATGTTCTCTTTGGCCTGCCTTTGGGCAGGAGAAGAGATGCAAGTACAAATCAACAGCTCAGGCTGAATATTGTGTTAAAAATGTAAGAAAAATTATTATATAACGAAAGCTTTCTGACAACAGAATTAATTTACTCATCAGACTCCTTGCAGAGGAAATGAAGTAAACACGACGGTGTTAGGGGTGCCTCTCAATCTTTACCACTTCCCCCTTTCACCCTCCGGATGTCTGTTAGGAACAGGCTCAACACTGTCCCATGGTTGAAGAGACTTTGCTTATGAAGCCGGCTCACTGCTCTGTGGAAACATTTGCCAATGGGTAGTCTGGGCACAAGCCTGTAATTTTTGCCTGTTGAAAACAGGGCTGTCCCCTCAGGTAGATTGTGAGACTGTCATTGTTAGCCCACTGACCAGAATTGCTGTGTTGTCACCTGACCTTTTCCTGTTGAACATCCATGCAATAATGCTGGGTACCCACGAACCCAGACCTTTGAAAGGAATCAGGACTCTGCAGAAGGGCACTGGCAAACAGGCTAGAAATACAGTCATATTTTTCTTGGCTTTTTATGGCTTTTTGTTTTCAAAAGTATTTCAAGCTGACACCTGTAATTTCTCACACTAGTGTGAACTATGAGTTACCATGACTTAAAATTATGATTAACGTATTTAATTTGCATGAACAGCCTGTGCAGTGGGTAATATCCTTCTCACCATTTACAGAGGAGGAGAGCAGGCACAGGCAGGGGATGTAACCTGCCTAAGGTCACAGAGCCATGGTCATTACCCTGCATGTCCTGATGAATCAGTCCCTCTAAGAAAGGACACATGACCACTGGTAAGTGGAGTAGGAGAATCAGCGTCTGCAGGTGGTGATCATTATGGAAGGTTTATGAAGCTCCCTGAGTGGGTGAGAGGCACAAAGGCTGTCTTTCTACCCTTGCTTCTGCCTAAAGAACGCAACCAATATCTGTTAGTGTTTTCTTTTAAGAGGCTGGGTCCTTGGCAACCCTGATGCCAGCTCTTGTTTTCCATGGCTCTGTGCTACTTTATGGAGAGCTGAGGTACTGATAAGCCTCCATGGAGAAGCACTGTTGGGTCTGAGGCCAAAGCCTTGGTCAATGGTGAGGAGCTGTTCCTATCACCCTTCCTTCCCCCTCCCATCTTGGCATCACTCCCCTTTAGTTTAGGGAAGCTGGTTCCCCAGTGCTGTTGAGCCACTCTGTGGTCTGCTGGGTTACAAGTTCTGTGGCCTAAATCTCTTAAGTAATAAGATTCTACTCTCAGCTCTTGCCAGCCTCCTTTCTCTAATGACTCAGCTTAGTAACTGAGAGATGATGGGGGAGCACTCTAGAGTAATCGATGCTCTTCTGCAGCCCAATTTTGCTTTTCCTCATTGGCAGCAAAGACCCAGGGTTGCCCATAGTTTTTGAAGGCACATATGCTGCAGTTCACAAGACCTGCTGTCAGATGGCATCCATGAAGTGGCAGCCACAGGTACTTGAATCCTCAGGCCTGATCCCTCTCCAGTATGTCATTAGTGTCTGATCAAAAAGCAGCTGGGCTGGGGGAGAATGAGAAGCACAAGAAATCCTGGGTATTTGATCCCTGGTTAAGCTGTTATCTATAGACTGTGATCCTCAAAGGCATTTCCTAAGTAGGGTACAGGGACAGATCATTTTGACTCAGAGGTACCCATTCTGCCACACAGGAGTGTCTTATTTTCTGGGCTGTTTTGACTTTCTGAGAAGCTTTGAGTAAGAAATGCCAGGCAGTAAAACATCTGTTGTAGAGGAGAATCATGTACAAACTACTAGGAACTTTGTCATAGAGGAAAATTTTCAGGTACTCCTCCTGAGCACCTCCTCCACTGAAGAAGGGTCCTGAATGTCAAAGCCCCACCTACATGCAGAAGCCATGTTGACTGCCTCTTACCTTACCCTAGTCTGCCATCATTTTCCTGTCAGAGCATCACTATATCCTTTGTCTGTCTGCACGCAGCTCCTTTTAATTGCTTCTCTTCCCCACTGTTGGCTGAATGAATAATCAAGCATTAAGTCCTGTTTTCTGTTGAGAATATAGTTTTTAAAAAGATTTGCTCCAGGAAACCAAATGGCAATTCTGAAAAACAAGCTTTGTAAAGGAGACCACAGCACTTCAAGATAAGATTTTGAGACAAGTGTCTAGATCAGAACCCATTCTAGCTGAGGATGGTATGATCTTGCAGAGACCATCAGTTGTTGGTTTCTCTGCTCCAGTGCTTAAACTTGGGGGGGGCTGGAGTTGACTGCGTGGGTTCAAATCCCAGCATTGACACTTAGGAGCTGTATGATATTGAGCAAATTATCTCTCTGTGTCTCAATTTTTTCATCTGTAAAATAGAGAAAATAGTACCTAGCTCACAGGGTTGTAAGAACTGAATCTAAGTGAACCACGCAGCCCATGGCACATGGAAAGTACGCAGTAAATGGTATTATTAAAACATCTCATGGAAGGTTGAGAAAAGATGTGCTTACTTTAGACTTCATAAAAATGAATCATCTTGGAGCCATTGTAATAAAACTCTTGCTGCACATGACCTAGTAAAAACCTCAAATGTTTTTATTTTTATTTTTCCTGTATCAGTTGCCCCCTGGGAGGGACACAGAAGCAGTGTGTCTGCAGGTCTAAGAGCTCTCTGATTTCTGTTCAGATGAGACTTAATGAGCCATTTGAGTTGACTGGCCTCCTGATTCATTTTCTTCCTCAGGTGCTGGAAAGCTTCAAGATCATGGACTATAGCCTTTTGCTGGGAATCCACATCTTGGACCATTCCCTCAAAGACAAAGAAGAGGAGACTGCACAGAATGTGCCTGATGCTAAGCGGCCTGGGATGCAGAAAGTCCTCTACTCAACAGCAATGGAATCCATCCAGGGTCCAGGGAAATCTGGGGATGGGATCATCACAGAGAACCCAGACACGTAAGTGCAGCCACCCACCCGCCCATACTCTTGGTCGTGGCAGCTCACATAGTTGGGTAATTAAGCGCCCCCTTCCTGGTGGCTATTTGGGAGCAGATCCCACCTAGTGCTAATATGGACAAGCCATCTTCGTTTCTGCTCACCTGTGGGTAGCTAGATGCATGGCAGTTCTCTGCCTTATTATCACTCTTTCATCCACATAGTTCCTTTTTTCAAATGGCTCCATTTTTTAACAATGGCTAAAATTGTTTTCACCCCCATTTCATACTTATTCAAAATGTCCACTGCAACAGGGGAATATAATTTGAATTTGAATAAATGCGTGTTTAAGCAAATTCATGATTGGAATTATGTTTGAAGTACAGAGCTTCTCATGTGCAGAAGAGGGTTCTGGCAGATGTGATTCCTTGCCTCAGCCAGATGTGATAACTGCAGGGTTAGTTTATGCATAGTGACAACAGAAGCAATTACAACTAAAGAAAACTCCTGAAGTGTTTTACTGTATCACATGTGTGTACCAGCTGAACAAGGAGACTGAAAGAGAGAAATCATTTTCCTTGGCAGTAACTACCTTTTAGGATGCTCCAGCCAGGAGCAAATCAGGCATATTCATTTACATACAGGAGATTCATATGTATTAAGCTTGATTAGAAATCCATCTAAATGTCCAATAATCAATTGAATTGTATTAGTATAATGAAATACTACACAACCATTATAAAAAAAAACATTAACTTGCATATGAGGAAATGCTCGTCATTCAGCAAATGAAAAATTCACATTATAAAATATGATAAATAAAGACTTTTGTGGAATAATGAATATACACACAAACGCACACAGAGATATACTGCAAAGGTGTACCAAATCTTAATGGTGGTTATCTTTGCATACTAGGAAAGGATTCTTTATATACTTTTTTTTGTGCTTTTATATATTTTATTTTAGAATTTCACAGTGAATATATAAAAGTGTTGCATTTTTAAAAAGCAGCATTTCAAAATACTTTAAAAATTCTTGCTCATGTTTTTAAAATAGGAATAATTTTTTAATTGGATTCTTCCCATTCACCTCTTCAGAGCTGACAGCTATGATATTATTCTCCTTTGCGAGAACATCACTCTGGATTCCCAGGCAGATTTTAACTGAGGCCAGAAGAAAATGATGAAGGGGGAGATAGTCCAGAATTTTTAGAGACTGTCCATTTTTATTTACAGCCTATTTACTAGAACTGACTTCTAACTTCCTACCTTTATGAAACATTTTCTCTTTTGCTCTGTCAACAGAATGGGAGGCATTCCAGCTAAAAGCCATAAGGGAGAAAAGCTACTTTTATTTATGGGCATTATTGACATTTTGCAGTCATATAGGTAAGAAATTTGGGGAAGTAGTCTTTTATTATTTCAAAATAAATCAACAGAAGTTTCAGAAAATGCAAATGGGAGTGATTATACTGTCTCATTTTTATTTTTCTGACTGTTTATGTTTAGATTAATGAAGAAATTAGAACATTCTTGGAAAGCTCTTGTTTATGATGGGGTAAGTGAAGTATCATGTTCCTTACTAACTATATAGTTTTCTGATTTCTCAGAGACTTGAGTATGTCTAGGAAGCCATGTCACTAGACTTGAAGAGGAGAGGAAGCAAAGGTCATTATAAGCTCAGAATCTTAGGCTAGCAGATTGGTTCAAATTGAAGAAGAAAGACAACGTAAATTTGAAGAGCTATTGAAAGAGAGGACATTCAGCGTGGTGGCTAGATAGAGGCCAGGAAAACAAAACGATGTCACATTTCTGTGTGTAATCTGAAGACCCAATTATGAGATGAGGAGGAGGAAGAGGATGAGGCTTTTCATAGGCACTAGGAAGATCAGTAAGACCGTTGAAATGGAGTTCCCACAAAACCAAGCTCCTGAGGGGTTTGAACCTGACTTTAATCGTAGACAGCCCTGGATCTGAACCCTGTGTTCATCGCTTTACTAACCACATGACCCAGACCCATTGCTTGTTACTGGGCCTCCCTCAGCCTGGTTTCCCATCTGTATTAGTGGTATAGTAACAGTACCCAGTACCTAACAGGCTGATGTAAGAATTAAATAAAAGAATGCACTTCATTGTTCAACACAGTGTCTACCACATAATGACGACACAGGAAATGAAAACTGTAAAGTTGTTACAGGTTTATACATGACTCAGACTGGCTGATATGAGGATGTCTTTTGGACCCAGAACTGGTTCAACAGAAGAAAACATTTATCAAAAAACACGCACGTATTCCTATCTAGATTTTAGATTTGAATTTCTTGCTACTGCAGAACATTTACTGGCCTCAGCCTCCCTCAGTTAATAACTTAAAGTGGCACTTACAAAGAATACACTGGTCAAAGATATGCTCACATACTTTTTTTAAGATGTTAGCAGATGCTCTCCTTTCAAAGAGGATAAATTATAGATGCTCTTCTTCTCCTTTCCTGGGAAAGAGCTCCGACTTTCTCAGTTCTGTGGAAGACTGGTAATAACCTTTCAGCATGAAAGATCTGCCTTTTGTCCACAGGCTGAGGAATGACCTCCATCAGAACACAATTTTAAGCAACAGGTTCACAAGTTTGTTTCTAAGAATTAAACTTAGACTTATTATTCAGATCAAAGATTCTTTCTATTAAAAGGAGAATATGGTAGGCTGATTTTTTTCCCTTCCAACTGATAAAAATAAAGATTACATAATGTCTTGAACATGGAAGAGACAGAAACAGCCCAGGTACATTCTCCAGTTTTTCCAAGACAACGTTAACTCCATTATCAGATGAGATTTTTTTTATGTGAATAGCCTAGTCCTCTTTTGCTCAGATGCTTCTAAGAGGCCTCTACCTTTGTCTAGTTAAAACCCATCTTTTCTTTTTGATAATGTTTTTCAAGAGGATCTCTGTGCTGATTATGTATTTGTGAAATTGTAAGCAAAAATTAAGATTTAGTGTTACCTGTTTACAAATGTGCCTCTTATTTCAACAGTGTTTCTTCACACCAAAGAGAAGCTCAGTCTAGCTTCTTTTGGAAGGCCTGGACTGAGTCTCATCCTGAGATATTTCTAAATTACTGTACTTGTGAATATGTGTCCATTTCAGACAGGAGTTGCCAGAATACTGGGGAGAGTGTGTGTCAAACAGTGGGAAATTTCCCAGCACACCCAGAGCATCGCTGATACTCGAGAGGACCATTATAACTTGGCCAAAGAGTTTCCTCCATATTGTGTCCTTCCAACAAGCAGATGACCAAATTCCCTTATGCTTTATGTAACACCCAATTTCTCAGATTTAAAAGATGGAAGCACACAACATTTTCAAGTCTGTTCAGAACCCAGTCTCTAGACCTCTGGTCCAGTGGTTTTTTTTTTTTTCTTCCAAACCCACTGCAGACATTTTATAATATCTAAACTTAAAATTTTAGAACTTTCCTTATTGGAATCCACAAACCTGGAATCAAAATGGAATATTAGATAAGCAAATATACTATTTCTAGAAATGTATATATTGGACAGTAAATAAATAGTTACTGAATAAACTTACAGTATTAGCTCTTTCATTTATCTCCTTTCCTGGATTTGCAATAAAATGTCCCTTCCATCCTAAAAACTCCTGCCAGGCAAGAGAGAATTGAACTGACAATTTATTTCAACTCAATTCTGAGTGGTAGATAATTCAGCATCTCAGAGGTCATCAGTCAGCCTTGTCTTCTAGCAATCTCCCCAGTATCTACATACCTTACTACTGGAAGGTGAAATCAGCATGCTGTTTTTTTAACTAGATGTCACTCTTACATTAGGGTAGTTTTGCTTGTTTATGTCCCCAATTTTTGTCCCCAGCTGAAAGTGTTCTCCTTCATGCCAGGTGACACTTGACACATTGATTGCCTGAGTGTAATGTAAAAAAAGAATGTAAAAGCCCCTCTTTGCACACAGTGGAATAAGATCAGTTGTGCTGGTTCATAAAGCAGAGTCTCCTTGCTGTGTCTGCCCTGCCCCTTGTAATATGCTGTCATCATGTGTGTCTTTGCTCAGATTGACTTGTGCCTTCTCCCCATGCCCAACTCCAGGACACGGGGCATTGATCCTTTCTGGTTTGTGACATCCACACCTTCTGGTTAAGGACACTGGCTAACAGAAAACCAATCGCATAGATCTTTCTTCTAGCTTGAAAGGAGCTGTCTGAGAGGTAATCCTCTGATACCTGATTTACCTTTTCAGGACACTGTTTCAGTTCATAGACCAAGCTTTTATGCAGACAGATTTCTGAAGTTTATGAACTCCAGGGTTTTCAAGAAAGTTCAAGGTAAGGTTCTTATGAAATTTTTTACTTTTAGCCCTTAACTTGCTGACTCAAACATGTGTATCTTTGCAAGATTTTTATTGGAAGAGTTTCGACTATTTATCTTCCAAAAGCAGTCTTCACTTAGTAATTATGGTTAAGTATCCCAATTGGGTATTTATTGATTCCATAATCATTTGAGTCCTGTATTGTGGTGAAAATTAGAAACTGCCTAATATTCAACCCTATAGTATATTGGTTAAATATATTACAATACAATCAAACAATAGAATAATATGCAACAAATACAAATGACCAATTAAAGGATTTATTCTTATAGATTTATTCACATATATATTGTTGTGATCTGCATGCATACCTAAATGTACAATAAAATTCTAATGGGATATATAAAAATGTTAACAGTGATTATTTTCATAAAATATTCTCTAGGATAGAGTATATATTAGGCAATAAAACAAGTTTCAATTAATTTTAAAATGCTGAAATCATATAAAGTATCTTTTCCAATCATAATGGAATGAATCAATAAAGAGCAAAAAATGGAAAATTGATAAATATGTGAAAATTTGACAACACAGCCTTAAACTACCAGTAGGTTAAAACTAGAAAACACAGGGAAATTATAAAAAATGTAAAGATGAATGTAAACAAAAACACACATGTCAAAAACTTAGGGGATGCTGTGAAGGCAGTGCTCACAGGGAAATTTATAGCTGTAAATGCCAACATTTAAAAAGAAGAAAGATCTCAAATCAATATCCTAACTTCAAACCATGAGGAACTAAAAAAAGAAGAGCAAACTAAACCCAAAGCTAACAAAATTGTTCTGAGTCATGGAATATGTGGTATTTTCTTTTCCTTTCCATCAATATTTATTACATTTTCTATAATGGATATGTATTATTTATGTATGAAGTTTTTAAATTATATGAAAAGGAAAAAATAAACCTATTATTATATTTTTTAAAATCATTTAGGCATTCTGTGGTCCAATTCATAATCCAAAACATGACAATTTAGCCTCACCAAAAAGCCTGAAAAAGTAGAGTGTTCATGTTTTATATTTATATGACAGATTTTTCTTATAATATTTGTTGGTGTTTTCTGTTAAAGTAAAACACTTTCTTTTTTTAAGGTTTTTCATTTTATTTTTCCAGCTTTATTGAGACACAGTTGACATATAACACTGCATGTTTGAGGTGTACAATGTGATGATTGGATGCACACATATATTGCAAAATGATTATCATAATCAGGTTAACATAGTCATTACTTTACATAGTTATAAATTTTGTATGTATAGGTTTACCTCCCCATTTTACTCACCTCCAACCCCCAGTAACCACTCTTCTATGAGTTCAGCTATTTTAGACTCCAAATATAAGTGAGATCACACAGTATTTGTCTTTCTCTGATTTGTTTCCATTAGCATAATATCCTTAAGGTCAATCCATGTTATATGTGTGTATATATATATATATATACACACACCCACCAACAGTGCACAAGGGTTCCCCTTTCCCCACATCCTTCCCAACCCTGCTGTCTCTTTTTGGTAATAACCATTCTCACAGGCAGATTGAGATATCTCATTGTGGTTTGGATTTGCATTTCCCTGATTGGTGATGTTTAGCATCTTTTCATGTGCCAGTTGGCATGTGTATGTCTTTGGAAAAATGTCCAAGTCCTTTGCCCATTTTTTAATCAGATTTTTTGCTGTTGGGTTATATGAGTTATTCATATATTTTGAATATTAATCCCTTATCTGATATATGGTTTGCAAGTATTTTCTCCCATAACATAGGTTCCCTTTTCCTCTTGTTGATTGTTTCTTTTGTTGTACAGAAACTTTTTAGTTTGATGTGGTCCCACTCATTTATTTTTGCTTTTGTTATTTGTGCTTTTGGTGTCAAATCCAAAAAATCATTGCCCAGACCAAGGTCAGGGAGCTTTTTCCCTGTTTTTGTTTTAGGACTTTTATAGCTTCAGGTCTTATATGTAAGTCTTTAATCAATTTTGAGTTAATTTTTTGAAAGTAAAATACTTTCACTGTCAGAATATTGGAAAATACAAAAAAATGCAAAGAAAATAATGAAAATTGCTTAATGTCCCACAATCCAGAGATACCCACTACTAGTATTTTAATATACTTCCTACCAATCTTTATTGTCTGTGCTTTGTATATTTGTATAAACATGGTAGCATAATGGTGTATAATTTTATGTACATCTCTATTTTTCACATAATATTGTAATATTGAATCGTGCCCCATATCATTGTGTGTTTTACAAAGACATTATTTAAAATTGTGATACCTTATTGAAATTACATGGATGTGCCATAATCCATTTAACCATTTGTTTATTATTGGGCATTTATATATCCCTTTTTTCTATTTCTAGCTAATATTTTTGTGATGCTGTATTATGACAATGTTATATGGTATTATGTTACATATACATATGACAAATGTTATATTCAAGTTTATGATTATTTCTTTAGGATAGATTCCAAGGAGTACTAGGGGGTTAAAATGAACATAACTGCACAGAAAGATTATGCCACTTTAGACTTCCACAAGAGTCCTTATAATTGTAGTCCTTAGCCAGAATTGTTTGAAATTATACTACTCCAATAAGTAAAAATTATTATCTGATTGTTCTATTTTGCATTTTTTTAAGTACTGGTAAAGTGCAACCATTATTCATGTTTATTTATTAACCATATGTAATCCCTTTGAGAATTGAGCTTTGTAATAATTGCCCATTTATATTAAGTGTTTATTTTTCCAAACAATTTATACAAACTTTATATGTTAAAGATATCCCTTTTTAACCTTAATTTAGTCTAAGAAATATGTTTGTTTCACATTCAGCAATTTCAGTGATATCTTAAAATTCATCTCAAATTGAGACCACAATAAATTAAATTCTCTAAGGTTTTTTTTAAATCTAAGATGGACCATTTGATAGTATTTATTCAGACTGCAGGCCTGTGTGAATGCCAGCTTGTGGTTCAAATTTTCAAGGATTTTCTGCCTCCCCTTAACCCTTTGCCAAGGTTGAAAAACATGAGTTTCCTTGTGTCCTCTGGTAGGTTTATGAAGGAGGTGCTTCTCGGTGCCCCTGGCTTACGTTCCCCATCTTGGGAATTTTTGCTTTCCAGTAGTTTATTAATTAATGGTACAATCAGTGGCATCTTCAATTCCATGAAATTTGGTGTGTGTTGCAAGGGTTCTAAGTTTGTATAGTTTATCATGTTTTTAATGTAACAAGTCTTTTACTTCTCAAGTAGTCAAATCTATCAGCGTTTTCCCATTGTGATTTCTTAGTCTATTTTTATAACATCTTTATTGAGATTTAATTCACTCATCATGAAATTCAGCCATTTAAAGTGTAAAGTGTATAATTATGTGATTCTTAGTATATTGACAAAGATTCGCAACCATCACCACTATCTAATTGGAGAACATTCATCACTCCAAAAAGAAACACCATACCCATTAGCAATCACTTTCTATTCCCTCCTCTTCCCAGCCCCTGGAAGCTACTCATTTATTTTCTGTCTCTATGAATTTGCCTATTCTAGAAATTTTATATAAATGAAATCATACAGTATGTGGTCTTTTGTGTTTGACTTTTTCCACTTAGCATAATGTTTTCAAGGTTTAGCCTTCTTGTAGTACTGCATTATTTTTTATTTCTAATAATATTCCATTGGATGGGTATACCACATTTTGTTCATCGGTTCCTTAGTTCATGAGTATTTCTGTTGTTTCTAACTTTTGGCTATTAGGAATAATGCAGCTATGAACATTCATGTATAAGGTTTTGTGTGGGCATATGTTTTCATTTCTCTTGAGAACATACCTAGGAGTGAAACTGCTAGGTCAGATGGTAACTGTTTAACATTTTGAGGAACTGCCAAACTCATTCTAAAGCAGCTATACCATTTTCCAGTCCCACCAGCAACTTATAAAGGATCCAATTCATCCACATCCTCACCAACATGTCATAATCTATTTTACATATGCTAGTGGGCACAAAGTGGTATCTCAGTATGGTTTTGATTCGCATTTCTCGAATGATCAATCATGTTGAACATCTTGTTGTGCTTATTGACCATTTATATCTTCCTTAGGAAATGTCTGTATAAATCCTTTGTTTATTTTAGTTGGATTACTTGTCTTTTTATTGATGAGTTGAAGAGTTCTTTATACATTCTGGACACAAGTTTGTTATCATATATATGATTTACAAATATTAATTTAATTTTTACTGTGGTGTGAGGTAGGTTTCAACTTCATTCTTGCGCATGTGGATATCCAAGTGTCCCAGAATAGTTTATAGAAGAGGCTATTCTTTCCCCCACTGGTTCCCTTGTTTTTCCCCCACAGTTTCCTTAATGAAAATCAATTGTCCATGAAGATCAGGATTTATTTCTGGACTCTCAATTCTATTCCATTGATCTATATGTCTGTCCTAATACTAGTACTATACTGTTTTGATCACTTCAATGTTATATGATAAGTTTTGAAATCAGGGAGTGTGAGTCCTTTAAAGTGTGAGTTCTTTTTTAAAATTATTTTGGCTATTCTGGGTCCCTCATATTTCTCTATGAATTTTAGAATCAGCTTGTCAATTCTTGCAAAAGAAAAAAGGGCAGCTTGTCTTTTGATAAGGATTGTATTGAATCTGTAGATCAATTGAAATACATTGCCATCGCAACAATATGAAGCCTTCCATTATGTGAACATGGGATGTGTCTTTATGTCTCCCAACAATGTTGTATAGTTCTCAGTGTATAAGTCTTGCATTTTTGTTAAATTTGCTCTCAAGTATTTTTCAAATGTTACAAATGGAATTGTTTTCTTAACCATTCTTATGTATACAAAGGACTCACCACTGAGGAATCAAATCAATGTTTATTAATATTTTTCTTTTTCTCTTTATAGGTTGGTTTTTGTTAATTTCTAAAATTTATGTGGTATTATTTTGATG